CCGGGATGCTGCAGGGAGCCCCGGGATGCTGCAGGGAGCCCCGGGATGCCCCAGGATGCTGCAGGGAGCCCCAGGATGCTGCAGGGAGCCCCGGGATGCTGCAGGGAGCCCCGGGACGCGCTTCCCCGCGCTCCGGTGGCGCCACCTGGAGCGTCGCTGCGGGAGGACCCCGGGCCATGGGAGGGGGGACAAGGGGGGGGGGCACTGGGTCTCCGCCCCTCCCCTGCGCTGCGGAGCTCGGCGCAGCCGCCTCCCCCGCGGGAGCGGGGCGCTCCCGGACGCCGGGGCCCCTGGAGCGGGGACGGAGGGCGGGGCGGAGTTCTGAGGAGGGGGGGAAGGGGCGTTCCCGGACGCCTGGGCCCCGAGGAAGCAGTTCCGCCTCTTCCTGCGCGGCGCCGGGCGGTGAGTGCGCGGCGGCGGCGGCTCGAGGCCGCGGCGATGGGCGCGAGCCGGGGACCGGGACGGCGACCCCCGGAGCGCCCCTAGCCTCGCCGGGACGTCCCCAGCCCGGCGGTCCTAACCCTGTTGCGGTGTCCCCAGTGCTGCACGAGTGTCCCCATCCCGCGTGGGCGCCCGCAGCCTCGCGCGCAGGCAGCAATGCCCGAGGAGCCCTTGGTCTGCGCCGACACCGCGACACGGTGAGTCGAGGGGCTGGTGTCACCCCCCGCGTCCCTCCCGGGTGCCACGCGCCACCCCCGGGCCCTTGTGTCCCCACGKGTCCCCACGGGTCCCCACGGGTCCCCGCAGGGTGAGCTCCGTGCTCAACCGGGACGTGAAGCAGTTCGGCAAGACGCACATGTTCGACGGCGACGAGGACACGTGCTGGAACTCGGACCAGGTTGGGGGGCCGCGAAACCGGGGGGGAAGCGGACCCGCTGCCCGGGTCGCGGTGCCGGCGGCCGCGTCCCGGTGCCTGAGCCGCGGTGCCGCCTGCAGGGCCCGCTGCAGTGGGTGAGCCTGGATTTCCCGCGCGCTGTCAAGGTCTCCCGGCTCCTCGTGCAGTTCCAGGGGGGATTCTCCAGCCGCCTCTGCACGCTGGAAGGTGAGGAGCTCCCCAGGGGTCTGCGGCTCCTGCTGGCAGAGCCCAGGGCGTTTGGGAAGCATTCCCGAAGCTCCAGAGGGGCTGAGGCTCCTCCAGGAGCCCTTGTTTGCAGCTAATCCGCATCCGGGGGGATCCAGTCGGCTACGCTGCGCGTTTCCGCAGCCCCAAATCCAGGATGCGGGAGCTGGGCTGCACACGGGGGCTGCACCCTGGATGGGACCCAGCAGATGCTCGTGTTCGGATGGGTGCCCTTGCACCCATCCGAATGGAGGCGAGGGGCTGCGGGTGCTGTCGTTACCACAGCCACCTCTGCCCTCCACAGGCTGCCGAACGGGCCAAGAACTGGCGAAAATATCCCARTTGTACCCCGAGGACAGCAATGCCCTGCAGATATCCTTTGGGAGCAACAGCTCGGTGCGGAGGGACGGGGCTGGCGTCGGAGCCGCGGCTGGGGGGTCTCTGGCGGGTGCCCCTGGCCTGTGCCCTCCTTGACGTGCCCTGCACAGCTTCCAGGTGCAAGAGACGGTGCTGGACAAGCTGAAGATCACCTTCGAGAACGGCACCGACTTCTTTGGGAGGATCGTCATTTACCACCTGAACGTGCTGGGGGAGAGGCTCTAGGGTGGCCCCGGGCACGCGGGACAGCAAGGGACGCGCTGGCCACCCTGCCACGTGGCCAAGTGGCCGTCACAGAGAGACGTCAGTGCAAAAACCCGCGGGTCTGGACTTGCAAACCAGCCCGGGGCCCCTGCTCTGGGCCCGTGCACCTGAATAAACGGGTTGTGCCCCCCCTGCGCCCTCCTCGCTGCTCCTTGGCAAGTGGCACCGTGGGACGGGCACCCTCCATGCCCAGCTCCAGGCTCGGAGCTGCTGCTTCACGGTGCAGCCCTGTGGCTGGAGCCAGAAAGAGGAGATGGGGCTGTGGGATCTGGCTGGTCTCGCCTGCTCTGGTAACCCCAAAACCCCAATCCAGCGGCTTGGCAGGGCTCTTCCCGGCTTGCCGCGTGCCCTGGTCGGGCTTTGTTCCTGCCTGGCAGGATGATGCTGGCAGGATCGGGGACTGGCCGCTGCCACCAGCGGGTAGGACACCACCAAAGCAACAGACAGGACTCGCGGGGCTGCTTTTTAAGCGTTTACTTCCAAAAATGCAATACCTGAACACCCGTGTGCACAAAGCGGCCGTGCCCGGGCACARCAGGAGCAGGAGCCCCACGGAAGTGGTGGCTCCGGGTACAAGGTGCCGAATCCGGGGCTGAGCCGCCCTCCGGGAGAGGCGCCATCCGTCTGGAGCAGATGGTTCCCGCTTCCTCCTCCTGCTTCTTGCTGGAAGCTTCGCTCTGCTGCTGCCTCRGGGGCCGCCGTGGCCGCACAGAAGAGCCTTGGCATCGGCCAAGGGCAGCACAAACCACGTCACGCCAGCGCCTTGCTCTGAAACAGCTTCAGGATGTGATTTTCAATAACCTGTTGGACTAAGAGAGGGAAGAGAAGGGAGATAAATGAATCCCATGGAATCCAAGCCGTAAAGAAGCCAGCATCGCTTTGGCTCTGACATTCCCTGGTCACCATTTGGCTCCTATTTTCCAGTGAGARGTAGGGAAACTGCTTTCTCCAGGGGCCTGTCCCTGCTCAGGCCTCTTCTGCAGAGCACCTCCCTTTTAGGAGGGGTAATGGGACCCAGACTGATTTCTCTGGCTCYGTTTCTATGCAGCAGAGCAGGGAGCTGTGGTGGAAGGTCAAGGGAAGCCCCAGGCAGCGCTGGAAGTTGCCTGCTCCAGGGCGGGAAAGCCAGGCTCCTTGCCGAGCACGCYGCGGACACTTGCCTTTCTTGTGTCCCAGGGCCACGGCCAGATCCATGGGAGTGTAGCCAGAATCCGCCTCCGTTGTCAGGTCGGCACCGCGAGCTGCAAGCAGGCAGCAGGGATRCAGCATTCCCGCAGGGACATCCCCGGGATGCTCCATTTCCCCCCAGGAACGTTGCGCTCCCTCTGCCCRCAGCGGTTACCAACAAGCAGCAGTTTGAGGGCAATTTCAGCATAGATCTTCCCCGTTACCTAGCAGGGCCTCGACGCACTTCACGTGGTTGCCTCGCACGGCGTAGAGCAGGGGGGTGCCGCCGTTCTGCGGGGACAGGGACGGCACCGTCGGCGCCACGTGCCCGTGCGCCCCATTTCCATGGGGCTCGACCCTCTCTGCTATCCCGCCCCATGCAGTGCCGCCCCGCTCGGCGCTGAGGCCTGCGCAGCCCCTGTTTCTCCCAGGGCAGCAGGTCCCAGAGCTGCTGGCTCCCCTTTTCCCCCTCTCCCAGCTCCAGGCTGGCTGTTTTCTCGCAGAGCACCTGGGTGCCATGATTTTCGGTAGGCAATACAATAACTTTGTGTTATTTTAGGACACCTGGAGTTTATGAGCACAGTTCCTTCGTGGTAATATCACCAGCRTGAGCAACTAGGGAAACTATTTTCCATCATTATCCAGCTGAATCTCTTTAAACAACCGTGTGAGCATGGAAATGAGCACTGCAAGCCCAGGCAGCAGCCAGGAGAGAGGCCTTGTCCCTTAGCCCAGAGGCAGGGCGCAGCAATGTGAACCCCCTGCTGCTGTTTCAGACRGGCTCTGCGCGGACCCGGGTGTCACGGCCAGGGCTTTCACGCTCCCCTGCGACTCACCCAGTCGTAGATGTTGATGTCCACGTTCCTCTCGAGCAGCAGGACGACGATGTCCGTGTAGCCGCCCATGCTGGCCAGGGACAGGGCGCTCTCCCGCTCCTTGGCCAGCGCGTGGGGGTCAGCGCCCTGGGGACAGCGGGAAGGGACTAGGAGCCTGCTGAGAACCGGGGCTCTCAGCACGAGACCCATCCTGCTGGAACCTCGACGGGAATATTTGAACAATCACATTCAAATTGATCATTCGACAGGGAAGACTAAGAGCCTTTGTCCAGCGCCAGTGAATTAAGCCTGACAGTTCCTGTTCCTGAGCCCTTTTCTCCCTCATTAGTAACAGCGTTAATGATCCTGTCTAGTTGAGGCTCATTCAGTGGCCCGGGTCTCTTCGTTGCTGATTTACCTAGCAAAGGTGCCCAGGGCTCTGAGCCCTGCTGGCCAAGGACCTCTCCAGGACTTTGTTGTATCCTTCATCAACAATTCCCCTCGCTTATTTTGGCTTCTAATTCTAATTTGACTTCTAAACGTGTCCTCCTGTTCGGTGCCACAGGAAGGGGCCGGGTGAGATGGTGCCGGGTGTTCCTGGGCTTGTGGGGCAGGATCGGGGCTGGGAAGGCTCCTGTTGGCACCGTGCTGCGCTCAGCCCTGCCCTTACCCATTCCAGCAGGTGACGGACGGTCTCGATCTCCCCGAAGGCAGCAGCCCAGATCAGCGGCGTGAAGCCTCTCTCATCGGGTTTATTTACCAAATTTTCACCTACACAAACATAAGGGAAACATCTTAGGCAGGAAGAACATAGCCCCCTCCCCGTTCCCTATTCCCAGGAAACCCATCAAAGGCTGCAAAATTAACCCAAAAGTTTCTCAAGGGCTGCTTAGGACCTGGCAAGACTCCACTTGACCAGGGGAGGAAACACAACCCGTGGGCTCTCCCACATCCCCTTCTGCTGCAGCCCGGAGCAGGGGTGCCCAGCAGCGGCTGCGCGAGGAAACCGAGAGCGGGGAGCCCCTCGACGGGGCCGGAGCAGACACGTACCTTTGCGAAGATGCTCCTTCAGCTGGCCGAGCTCCCCTTGGGCTGCCAGCTGGTGAACGGACAGCGCTGCGGGACGGGACGGGAGGAGTGGGGCGGCGCGGGCASGGCACCGGGAGCCTCCTCGCGCCGCGCCGGGAGGCTCTCCCGCCGCTCCCACGTGCGGGTGCCCGCTGCCCGCGCGGATACTCACTGTCCAGCGTGGCGGGAAGGGCAGAGACCTCGTTGCCCCGCTGCCGGTTCGTCAGCGTGTTGGAGTGGCGCAGCAGGAAGCCTGTTGGGCAGGGAATGGGCGCTCGGAGCGGCAGCCCT